TATATATATATACATTCAGTTTTAACATCTTTTTCCCCGAAACTGGTGACATGCTTGCATCAAATCTTTTTTGGAAGCAAGATTTTTATATGGCTGGATGCCCTTCCTAATGCCAACATAAAAGTCATACATTCTATGGACAAAGTCCTGACAATTGAAATTTTAAACTTTGAAATTTAAAAAAAAAAGATTACCTGTAAACGTAACATTGTGACGTGGTCGCCACCACAAGATGGCCGAACGCCAGCGAAGTCTTGATAATTCGGTCACGGAAGTCCAACTTTTCCCGCGAATCGTCCATCACATTCCGGACCTGGATGGACTTCCGGTCAGCGACCGTGACCTCGTAGTTCTTCCACTCGAGCCTTCGCTCGATCACGTGGCCGAAGATCACGTGACCGTTCCCACAAGCCCCAGCGATCTGCGTGCCGTCGCTAGACCAGGCGATGTTGAACACACTCCCTGTGTTGGGCTTCTCAAGGGCATAGGACCACTGGGGTAAAAAGCAAGAAGTATCATTAATACCGTTACAATGCAGAGTCGCAGACAAATAAAATCATCGCTGATCGAGGCAATGTTAAACACACTTATTGGGTATCTCCAGGATACAAAACAAAAGAAGTGGTATATTGTGACACAAATTTTCATCAGGTGGTGCTCTATTATAGTTACTTTTAGTGTACCAGGCTACTGCAAATTTGGAAAATTTCAAGTCTATCCTTTATTTGCAAATTCGACCCTTTCTGCTCTGAATCAGTATTAAAGACTACTTTGACTTTTGGCCTAATTTATCTGATATGTTTCAAATCTTAGCAGAGGAAACAAAACAGAAATCAAAGAAAAAAAGACCATAACAACAAAATTACATTCTATTGTTGAAACAACTTTAAGTTAATATGATAACCTTTTTTCCTCTCTTGTCATGAAAAACTTTAATATGACAGATGTAAAAAACAAAAAGATAAGAACAGGAAAAAATTAAGAATAACTTACCCCAGTTTTATCACAGAGCCTGAGTGTGTTGAATGACCCGACAGCAAAAAGCTCCCCGTCAGGCGCCCAGCTTACTGAGGTGACGGGATAATCATGCACCTGGCTGGTGAACAACAGACGACCATAGCTGTCCCACACCTGGAAAACAAGTGCCTGTTAGTTTGCTCCTTACAATCAATGTATTTCCTCATAACTTGTTGAAAATGAATGATGATGATGTTGAAAACAATACAGTAACTATAAACCTAGCTGTACCAAACATTAAAAAATATGTAACTGTGGCATTAGTTTGTTCCTTACAATTAATGCACTAGTCCAACATATCTTTGTTATGAAAAAAAATATTTAATTATTATATAGCTAGTTGTCATAACAAATCCAATGGAAAAAAAAGCACGTCATTGAGAATTATTATGTTTACCCAAGGAAAATATCATTTTTTCTCTGTTTCCTGTTCGTTCTTTTCCGACCCAAAAAGGTCAATGACAGTCTGTCACTATTGTAACTGGTGTTGGGTTACATCATGTTGCAATTTTATAGTAGGAGGGATTTAGACCCCTGTCTGACCATATATATGAATGTTTTACAGGAAGAATTAACAGAGCAGACCATGTATGTGAAGGTAAACATTTTTACTTTGCAAATGTTACTTTTTAGTTTTCATGAAACTTTTGGTGAAAATGGAGAAGCTGTGTCAACGACAGAAATAATCTTTTGGGTATGACTTTGACTTTTAGGCAGGATCCATTTTACCTTATTCCTTGATGACCCTTACCTTGTACCTACAGTCCTCCCCACCAGACAGGATGAGGTTGTTTACTGCGTTCCAATCAATCTTTAGGATCACCCCTTCATGGCCTTTCCACTACAAAATACAAAATGTAACAGGCAGAAATGAATGTCTTTGATGTGTCTGGAGCAACGTGTTTACAACTGAATATAGAAAACATATCAATAATGGTAAAATGTAAAATGAGCAAATGAATGGAGCAAAGAATGACTGAATGATGGAAAGAGGGAACAAATGAATGAATGGACGTATGGAGGAACAAATTATTCTATGGATGAGAATGAATGAATGAATGACTGTCCCACCTGTATAGGTTTAGCGTTAGCCTGTAGAGGTTTGATGATGAGTGAATGTGTGAATGACTGAATGAGTGAATAAGTGACTGAGTGAATGATTGAGTGAATGACTGAATGAGTGAATGACTGAATGACTGACTGAATGAGTGACAGAATGAATGACTAAAAAAATGAAGTGAGTGAGTGAGTGAGTGTGAGTGAGCGTGAGTGAGTGTGAGTGAATGAATGAATGAGTGAGTGAGTGAGTGAGTGAGTGAGTGTAAGTGAGTGAGTGAGTGAATGAATGAATGAGTGAGTGAGTGTAAGTGAATGAGTGAGTGAGTGACTGACTGACAGACCCACCTGTATAGGTTTAGCGTTGGCCTACAGAGGTTTAATGAATGAGTGAGTGAAAGTGTGAGTGTCGATGAATGATTGACTGAATGAATGACTGCCCACCTGTATAGGTTTAGCGTTGGCCTGCAGAGGTTTAATGATAAGCTGCCGACCGCTGGTGTACAGGATCTGGTCCGAGTCTGGTCCCCAGGCAAGCGAGTAGACCGGTGTTCCCTGTTGTACCATGGTGGAGCGCAACATCCCGCTACGGGACCAGATACGAACTTGACCATCCTCTCCAGCTGTAAGTAAAACAGGAACAACTTTGGGTTAGATTTGAGAGTGAGTAGACCGGAGTTCCCTGCTGGACCATGGTGGAACGTAACATCCCGCTACGGGACCAGATACGAACTTGACCATCCTCTCCAGCTAAGAGAAGGGAAAATGATGTCAGTCATGTTTTAGCTGACACTGAAGAGCAAACTCTTCCACTGGTTGTGACAGAGAAGACAGACGCTATATATGTACAGTATTTACAGGTTCATTGTACCAGGTAGATAGTACTAGATTATCTTATGAGACTGAACTGCAAAAGAAGAAGAATTGATCCAGAAAAAATACCCCTAGCTCTTTTATCAAGTACAATGAACTGTGGACCACAGCTTAACGTCCTATCCTAAGGACTGCAACCTTTTCAAGTAGCATACATACTACCTGTTCTTCCAGAAATTTGGCTATGAACAGAATAGCAATATCTAGTGCTGTTCCATCAATTGATTACCCCCACCAGCTGCCCATACTGACCTGTAGCCATGGCTGTTCCATCATACGACCACCTCCCTGACAGCACAGCTCCTTTGTGGGCTTCAACACTCTTCTCCACCCTCCCCAACCGGGATATCAAATGGAACTTCCCTGTAAAAGAGGGATGGTTCATTAGACCAGCATTCTGGGATCCATTCATATTCTTTTAATTTTAGTTATCCTGCTCTGAAGAAAGAAATGAAAGTCAAACAACCAGAAAGGCAACATTTGCAAGCAAAGACAGCATATTTCACTCTATCACCTTTTTCATGCAAAAATGTTCAGTACCAAGTCAACCATTAACAGAAATGGACAGTCCCAACATTACATCACTCCAGAATGGAATTTTCTGAATTTGGATCCCTGGTAGTACCGTGGTATATGGAGTGAAATATAACAATAATCACAAACACAGAAAGGCCACATTTGCAAGCAAACACAGCATATTTCACTCCATCACCTTTCCCATGCAAAAATGTTCAGTGCCAATGACTACTATTCACAGAAATGGACCATTCCAACATCACCTCACTCCAGAATGGAATTTTCTGAATTTGAATCCCTAGTACTGTGGTATGGAGTGAAATATAACAATAATCACAAACAAACAAACAAACAAATTTTACCGTCAGTACTGGTGAGCACGAACACATCTGACTGCGTCTGTTTGCCCTTCCCTCCCCCCACGACCTTGGGGAACCAGTGGATGTCAGTCGCGTACACCTCCGCAGGAAGCTTGGCCAGCTGGGGGGGAAAGAGGGTGGAAATTTCTATTTATTCATAAAGTGATCTTGATCAATAGTTTGTGCTTATAAACCTGCATTTCTCCTCTGGTCTCTCAGTCACTGAAGAAAGCTAGTGGATACTAGCTGAAACGTCTGACGTTTTCAAAATCATATCCAGTTGCTTGAGTAACTGCTTTTTGACGTATCATATTACCTGGATGTCTAAAATTCATCGACGTGATCTTGATCAAGTTTTAGCTCACTGAAGATGTACTTTTTTACTGTTTGTGACAGGAAAGATGGACACTACAGTACTGTAGTAAATTCCCCTAGCTCTTTTCAACAAGTACATTAAACAGTGGACCACAGCTTAAAAAAAAAAGTTAAAACATCCCGTCCCAAGTGTGTCTGGTGAGTAAATAAGCGACAACAGTCGGGATTTCAGCTCAACGGCTACTCCTCAGCTATTTTCCACCACCTACAACACAACCAGGGTCACTCTTTCAAACTCGAGTCCACGGATGTCTTAGACCGCGAAACACGCTGGTGGGAACGGGGTGTTAAAGAGGCAATATATGAAAGAATGTACAACCCCACCCTCAACAGGGAAGGGGGGCTACGGGTCGATGTTTCCGGCACTTGGGATTTGGCACTCCCAGCCCCGAGGACAGACAACACTTAAGCTCCTGTCCTGTATAACAGGAGCTTTCAGACTAATTTGCATCATCTTGTCTTGACTTGTCTGACTTTTGTTCCTTTTTCGACTTCCAAAAATTTGTCTTCACTTTATTTGCATATCAATCAACAGGTTGTGTATATAAACCTGCTTTCCCCGCTGGTCTCTCAGTCACTGACGAAAGCTAGTGGATACTAGCTGAAACGTCTGACGTTTTCAAAATCATATCCAGTTGCTTGAGTAACTGTTTTTTGGCTAACTCACACACTACTTAAGACGGGATTGGAACTCGCAACCACTTGGTCCAGAGGCAGGGTCACTAAGCACTGAACTATGCAAACTACTTTAAAAATACAGGATTCGAACTCATGACTTTTTGTTCCAAAGCCAAGGTCCCTTAACCAAGTTGGACTATGCACACTGCCTACCTGTGAGGTTTCGTTGGTGAGCAGACTCCACTTGAGGATGGCGTGGTCGTCACTGCAGGAGTACAGCTCATCTGCTGTGGTCCAACCTACACTGCTGACCAGCTCTGTATGTGCAGGGGAGTCAAGGGGAATACATACAACTGACACTTAAAGTCTAAACTTGTGACTGACCTACCTCAACTAACCCTAACTCTAACCCACACTGCTCACCAGCTCTGTATGTGCAGGGGAGTCAAGGGGATAACAGCAAGTATATGTATATATAATACAACACGGGGTATTCCGTATCGCCCGAGGTATCGGCCCGACCGCAATACGGAACCCGGGCCGGGACCGAGGGCGATACGAACCAGAACCCGTTATCGAACGTTATCGCGGCCCGGGTATGATATAAACTATAATATAGGCCTCACCAGCTGCCCAATGGGTCCTGGACCTTTTGGCCTAATCGGTAAGTGTGCTGGTTGTGAGCTGACACACCACACAAGCGGTGCGGGTTCGATCCCGGTGGTGAGAGTCAACCTTCGAGTTACAACTTTCTCTTGTGTTACTACTGTTTCCTTCGTAGTGGTGCAAATTGTGGTTAAAGGGGAAGTCCAATACTTTCAGTTTTGGGGCCTTTCTACCCAAAATCCTATTTGTAAATGGTGATTTATTGGTTTCTGCCAACCCCGCACATATTTGCGGTGATATCTGACCCGATCGATGTTTCGCGGCTAGCGCCAGATTGTCCGCTAGGCGGCGCTGCGACTGAATCTGTGACGTAAAAGGTTTCATTGGAACAGATTTGGAGCGCGCGCCATTTCAGTCTGTCTGCCAGTACATAGCTCGCTGCAAGTATGCCGCGTTGTGCAAGTTGTGGCTGTTGGTATGGCCCTGCGTCAAAGGAGCGCGGCGTAAGCTTCCACAAGTTTCCAAAAGACCACGATAGGCTACACAGGTGGTTGGTCAGCATGAGGAACAATCTTGTAAATAAACTGACGCCGGA